CCGAAATAGCTATCACTTCTACCATTTTTTCAAATTATTGTTGCTTTTCCACAACAAATTTTCGTTTAAAAACGGCCTCGAGCTCAATATAAATTGTTGAATATAATTGTTATAAAAGGCCAAAAAAATAACAAAAACAAATAACTTAAGGACGAGCACACCTAAAAGTTAAACATTCTAAAAATAGAATTATAGCAAAAACCAACAATACCAACAACCACACGATCAAGTGAATTGCAGCGGAATAGCTGCGCTTGATTGTGTTGGCATAACAAAAATGAAAATAGTGGAGAAAAGCAAACGATAATTTACAAGGCGTACTTAGCACGGTGCATAGGCAAATGGCTGAGTCAGTGGGATCGTCGGTTCGAATCCTACTGAAAGAAGTCTGATGAGGAAATGTGGTGATTTCCGAAGTAGCTATCACTTCTACCATTTTTTCAAAATATTGTTGCTTTTCCACAATAAATTTTCGTTTAAAAACGGCCTCGAGCTCAATATAAATTGTTGAATATAATTGTTATAAAAGGCCAAAAAATAACAAAAACAAATAACTTAAGGACGAGCACACCTAAAAGTTAAACATTCTAAAAATAGAATTATTAGCAAAAACCAACAATACCAACAACCACATGATCAAGTGAATTGCAGCGGAATAGCTGCGCTTGATTGTGTTGGCATAACAAAAATGAAAATAGTTGAAAAAACAAACGATAATTTACAAGGCGTACTTAGCCCGGTGCATAGGCAACTGGCTGAGTCAGTGGGATCGTCGGTTCGAATCCTACTGAAAGAAGTCTGATGAGGAAATGTGGTGATTTTCGAAATAGCTATCACTTCTACCATTTTTTCAAATTATTGTTGCTTTTCCACAATAAATTTTCGTTTAAAAACCGCCTCGAGGTTAATATAAATTGTTGAATATAATTGATATAAAAGGCCAAAAAAATAACAAAAACAATCTTTGAAAAAAGTTAAAAAAACAGCATCAAAAATCTCATCATTACGATTCCGTTTAATTTTTTTTTAATTTTTTTTTAAATGTTTTCATGCAAATTTTTTAAGCTTAAAACGTTTTGTCATTTGAGGAGATTTTTTCAAAAAAAAAAATCTTTAAGAAACTATTTTTATTCATGAAAAACTCCATTTTTGGAGATATTTTCAAATCGGTCCAGCTCACTTAAATCTTAATATTTTTCGGAAATATTTTGGTGGACATCTTAAAATATAATAGATTTTATAATTCTAATGGAAAAATAGTATCGATTTTTCTTTGTATGGGGAGCGATGCAGTCTAATTTACATACATATGTATATGCATGTGTGTGCACCAATCTTGCAAAATTTTATACAGACATGACTAGAGTAGAAAATAAATAATAAAAAAAACGTTTTAATGGACTTAAAAGAAGAAAATAATATTTCTCAGTCCCACAGAATTGGTTTTGATAACTTTTGATTTTGAAATTTTAGCAGAAGTTATTATAAACCATTTATGAGATTGAAAATGAAAAGCGTGGGGCGCATGCAATACAAAGCATTAGATTTAATTGACAATAGTCAAACTACATAACATAGACCTAAAATTTCTACGGAGAAAGTACAAATTTGAGATAGATTTTAAGCCGTCATTATTTATATATCGACATAAGTACATACATATCAATTCAGGTCTATTAAATGCGCCACACGCTTTTCATTTTCAATCCCATAAAAGGTTTATAATAAGTTTTGCTAAAATTACAAAATCAAAAGTTATCAAAACAAATTCTATGGGACTGAGAAATATTAGTTTCTACTTTTTAGCTCATTTATCAAAGCGTTGTATATTAAAAAGTTTTTTTTTATTATTTATTATACTTTTGTTTACTTAATGTTCATAATTTTTTTTTATAAAAGACTAGCATATTACTTAACCAGGACCACATAAATCCACAATTTAAACTTCTTACAAAAATTCAACAATCTTTAAGAATTGCACCTAAAGTTTTAAAACTTTTTATTAAAAATTTGTAGAAAAAGTTTAGGTATGCAGTTTTATAGCCCATTCAATTTTAGCAATTTAAAGTGCGAATTTCAAGACGCTAGAAAATTTTGTTCATTTTTAATATCTTTTTGCTGGAAGAAAATGCCTAGCATCGTCATCAAAAAAAAATTTCCACTTTAACTTTCTAAAATTTAATGGGCTCGAAAACTGCATACCTAAACTTTTTTCTAAAAATTTT